CGGGCGCGAACAACGAGGTGCGTGATGGACCGATAGGCCACAAGGGGCGCCGGAACGCCGGGCGCGAACAACGAGGTGCGTGATGGTAGGCGTCACACAAGATGGCGGCAGGTCTAACACAACGCAGGATCCAAGATGGCAGCGCCACAGGCAGGGGAGCAGAGCCGCAGATGTCTCAATTGGGACCACGCATTCAAGGGCCTGTAATGGCGGCAGCCCAATCGCTCTACCTTCCTTCTTCAAGCCTTCTTCAACCCTTTCCTCGATAACACTCCCCCAATTTGACTCCCCAAGGCCAGCCCAATCGCTCTACCTTCCTTCTTCAAGCCTTCTTCAACCCTTTCCTCGATAACACTCCCCCAATTTGACTCCCCAAGGCCACCTTCGTGATCCTGGGTTGTCACAGGGGAAGAAGCGGGTTTCAGGGGTTCCAGATGGCAAGGTTTTGGTAGGATTAGGTCAGATTATAATCTCTCACCCTACCAGAGCGAAGGATCGCTGCTGTTACCTCGCCGCCATCATACCGGAAGTATTCTCACTATTGGCTGCTACTTCCCAGCAGATGTCAGGTGGTGCGATACCGGCTAAGCAGTGTAATTTCTCCAGTGGTGTAGGGCACACAACCTGTGATAATGTGGCATGTCTCATTAAGAGCCACATCTACTGTTTTAGCATAGTGAGATGTTCCACACTGGGCATGCATACTCAGCAGCAGAGTAGCATAGCACAAGGGCAGATGTCTTCACTGTGTCTGGTTGTGATCCCCAGGTTGTGCCAGTCAGCTTTCGTATGATATTATTTCTAGCGCCCACTTTTTGCTTGATATTCAGGCAATGCTTCTTGTAGGTCAGAGCATGGTCATGAGGATTGCAGGATTGCAAGACATCCGGGCGTCCCCTAGGCATCGTCTTCGTAGACGGCTGATTCCCTCACTCCAGAAGCAACTTGCAGCATGCTTAATATGGTCAGTGTAGACTAGGCTTGGGACAAACTAAATCAATCAACCCCCCCCCCCCAACACCACCAGTATTCAAATTAGGGCATATTGGGTATTTGTGCCAAATTTTGTCTAGTGAATGAAAATACATCCTGTATCTCATATATTTACATTATGATTCATAACAGTAGCAAAATTACAAGAGTAGCATTAGGAAGGTCGAGAACCACTGCAATAGAGAATTGGCAAGGGAAATGACGACACTTGGATTTGGTATCTTGGCTTTTGATTAGTTTTATAGTTGTTTATATGTTTTTATTGCATTTTGGGATATGATGTGTTGCTTTTTATCTGATTGTATATGCGGCACTGAATACTGCCATGTCATAAGCCACTTTGAGTCCTCTTTGGGGTGAGAGGAGGCAGAATATCAATACAGTGAATCAATAAATAAAATCTGTCACTGGGTTCAAATGACAGAAAAAGAAGAACCTGACCATAGAAAGAGCTGTTCAGCAGTGGAACTCACTGCCTCAGTGGAAGCTCTTTTTTGGAGGCTTTTAAATAGAGGCTGGATGGCCATCTGTCGGGATTGTTTTGATTGTAAGATTCCTGCATGGCAGAAAGTTGGACTAGATGGCTCTTTCAACTCTATGATTCCTGGGGTGTTTGGTCATGTTCCAGAAGCATTCTCTCCTGACGTTTCATCCGCATCTATGGCAGGCATCCTCAGAGGTTGTGAAGTCTGTTGGAAACTAGGCAAGTGACGTTTATGTATCTGTGCAATGTCCAGAGTGGGAGGAAAAACTCTTTCTTTCTCCATCCCAAAGAGGTTTGCCATGGGGGTCCTTTGAGGCTGAGAGAGTGTGACCTGCCCAAAGTCACTCGATGGGAAGGGATAGCTAGGCCGGTCATTTTTCTGTCAATCAGGCTTTTTCTGTTTGCGGCAAAAGGGGCAAAAGTCATGCTGAAAACGTGGCGACGGCATGAGCAGTTGATATATTCTATTTGATTCAATCTGTAACGGTTCCATCAATTAATAAATTAGATTAATAGATTTCAAACTACGCGGCGGATTAAAAGAGGAATCCTATCCAATTAATTAGGCAGTTCCAAAGAAGGTTTGTCATGGCCTGGGGTGGAATTTTATTGGCGGGGTCACGTCTTCCCCCTTTCACATAAGTTTGTACTCCAAAAAGGAACTATTCCAGGCAAACTTGGCCCCTCCATGTGTTTTGGACTTCAACTCCCACAGTTCCTAACAGTCTCGGGCCCATTCATTTTCCCCTCTTGGCCACTTAAGACAAGAGTTCTTCCTCCCACTTTGGACATTCCACATATATATAAAACCAACTTGTCTAGTTTCCAACAGACCACACAACCTCTGAAGATGCCTGCCATAGATGTGGGGGAAATATCAGGAGAGAATGCTTCTGGAACACGGCCATACATCCCAGAAAACTCACAGCAACCCAACTGACTTAGACTTCAGAGGAGTCCATGAATGAGAGACCTTGAAGTCATCCTATCATCCACAGTCCTGCTCAGTGTTTACAAATCAAAACCAGAGGTGGTTACTTCGATTTGAGTCTATCCATTGGGAACGTGGCCTTTTTCTCCTGCCTTCCTCCTTCACAACTCTTGAACCTTCTCTTCTCATGAGATGCCCAAAGTGTGACGGCCCTAATGTAGTCGTGTTGGCTTCCAAGGAGACTTCAGACCTGATTTGCTCTTGGAGCCATTTAGGTGTAACCACTGAACTCTCAAGCTCATAGTGTTGCCATAAGTCAAAGTCAAGTTGATCTCAAGTAACAAGGACAAAACAGAATCCTGCAAACCAGTGTTTCTCAACCTGGGGGACCCCTGGGGGGGCCATGAGGGGGTGTCAGATGGGTCGCCAAAGACCAACAGAAAACACAATATTTTCTGTTGGACATGGGGGTTCTGTGTTGCAAATTTGGTCCAATTCTATCATCGGTGGAGTTCAGAATGCTCTTTGATTGTAGGTGAACTATAAATCCCAGCAACTACAACTCCCAAATGTCAAGGTCTATTTTCTCTAAAGTCCACCAGTGTTCACATTTGGGCATATTGAGTATTCATGCCCAGTTTCGTCCAGATCCTTCATTGTTTGTCCACAGTGATCTCTGGATGTAGGTGAACTACAGCTCCAAAACCCAAGGTCAACGCCCATCAAAACCTTCCAGCATTTTATGTTGATTGTGGGAGTTCTGTGTGCCAATTTGGTTCAATTCCATCATTGTTGGAGCCAGAATGCTCTTTGATTGTAGGACAACTATAAATCCCAGCAACCACAACACCCAAATAACAAAAATCAATCCCTCCCCAACTCCACAAGTTTGGGCATATTGGTTATTTGCGCCAAATCTGGTCCAGTGAATGAAAATACATCCTGCATATCAGATATTTACATTATGATTCATAACAGTAGCAAAATTGCAGTTGTGAAGTAGTTGCTGGGATTTTTAGTTCACCTACAATCAAACAACATTCTGAACTCCACCAGCAACTGAATTTAATCAAACTTCGCACTCCCATGACCAAGAGAAAATACTGTAATGGTTTGGTGGGCATTGACCTTGAATTTTCGAGATGTAGTTCACCTACATCCAGAGAGCACTGTGGATTCCAACACTGGTGGAATTCATAGTTCATCTACAATCTACAATCAAAGAGCATTCTGAATTCCACCAATGATGGAATTGAACCAAACCTGGCACTCCCATGATGAAGAGAATATACTGGAAGAGTTTGGTGGGCACTGACTTTGAATTTTGGAGATGTAGTTCACCTACATCCAGAGAGCACTGTAGATTCCAACAATGATGGATCTGGACCAAACTTGGCATGAATACTCAATATGTCCAAATGTGAATGCTGTTGGAGTTTGGGGAAAATAGGCCTTGACATTTGGGAGTTGTAGATGCTGGGATTTATAGTTCATCTACAAGCATTTTGAACTCCACAAATGATAGAATTGGGTCAAACTTCCCACACAGAACCCCCATGACCAACAGAAAATATTGTACTTTCTGATTGTCTTTGGTGACCCCTCTAATACCCCCTTGTGACCCCCCCCCCTCCCAGAGATCCCAACCCCCAGGTTGATAAATACTGCTTTACAAATTGCTGGAAAATTGGGCATTGAAGGACACCATTATTTTATTGGTGGGCATCATCCTCATTTGGAGGGATGATGCCTTCATTTTCCTCACTCCTCATGACTACAGACCTGATAGTTGGGTTGTTGTAGGTTTTTTCAGGCTATATGGCCATGGTCTAGAGGCATTCTCTCCTGACGTTTTGCCTGCATCTATGGGAAGTGTCCTTAGAGGTAGTGAGGTCCTGATAGTGTTTATTCTCCTTGTAAATGAAGAATGGAAATTTCCAAATCGGTTGCAAAGGGATCCATTGTGTTTGCATGAATACGATAAACAGTGTCCGTGCCCTTCTGGAGCCTTCTCTTGCCTTTCCTTTCCATAATATTTTCTTGAAGAACCTGAAGATCCCTCCGGATCGTCAAGGTCTCCACCAACCCACCGGGGATTGTAAATCACCCTTAAAGGATCACTAGAGATAATGTAATATTTATTTGAACTGGCAAATTAGTTGATGAATTGGTTAAAAGCGCAGGAAGGTTGTTCAAGCTACAGAAACCTTTAAAGGCTAACAGCCTCCAAGAGTGGCTTTTTGGCAAAGGTTTATGGCCGTAATTTCCATTTTTGTAAAGTTTATGATTCGGAGGGGGAATGTTATACATTTCCATATGTAACTGGAAGTGATGGGCTTGAAAATGAAAGTTAAAAAAAGCACAGAGAATGGCATTTTTCAAGGATTATTTGGCCTGGTTCAAAAAGCTAAGTGCCTGGAAGGCAAAGCAGATATTTCGTCTTTGCAGGGCGAAAATTGTTGTCATTGGCGAAACATCCATTCAAATTCAGCTCAATTTTATTCCATTTTTTATTATTATTTAAATGTGAATGTTGCAATTAGCCAGCTTGATTAGCATTAAATGGCCTTGCAGCTTCAAAGCCTGGATGCTTCCTGCTTGGGGGAATCCTTTGCTAGGAGGTGTTAGCTGGCCCTGACTGTTTCCTGCCTGGAATTTTCTGAGTGTTATTCTTTGTTTACTATCCTGATTTTAGAGCTTTTTAAATACTGGTAGCCAGATTTTGTTCATTTTCATGGTTTCCTCCATTCTGTTGAAATTGTGCATTTCAATGGCTTCTCGGTGTAATCTTTGTG